AGTTTGACTAACAAAACCTTGTTTCTCCACAGCTGGTGTTTAAGATAAATATTCTATTCTAAGATTGCATTTTCCAACTTTAATTTCATCCATTGTAAAAACATTGGTACATGGTTCTTATCTTTTTCTTTATACATATACTGCAAAAAATGGGTAATCTTAACATGTACTAATTTTTTATGTTGGTTTATTGTTTGTACATAATTTGGTAAATAAAATTTACTTTTTCATTATTACACATTCACTTTTAATATTCCTATAAGTTCTATTTTAAATGCAATATGATTTTCACTTAATAATTATTGACATAAATTTGAAATTTCCAGGCTAAAGTCCCATCGTCAGTAAAGAATACAACTAGATACATTCCACAAGCTCCTGACAGAATATTGGATGCCCCTGATATCTTGGATGATTATTGTAAGTATTTTTATTTCTTCAATTACTATTTCTATACTAATTGTACATAAAAACAAGTTGTTTTATTACCTCAACTTTATTGATCAAGAGTTTTTGAGCTTATAGAAGTTAGTTCTTTAGGTTTTTTAATATTGGCCTTTAAAATACTATTTTATTATAATTATAAGTACCATCATAATCAAAATCTATTACATATTACCTAGATTACTTACTACCAGCATATATAATATATTTTTCATTACAGATCTTAATCTTGTTGACTGGAGTGCATCAAACATCCTCGCTGTTGCTTTAGGCAACTCTGTCTACCTGTGGAATGCAGGCACTGGTCAGATAGAGCAGCTTTGTACTCTAGAAGGATCTGAAACTGTATGTTCAGTACAATGGGTGCAAGGCGGCGGTTCCCATCTTGCTGTAGGAACTTCTGCAGCTACTGTAGAACTGTGGGACTGTGAGAAGATAAAAAGGTTGAGGGTATGTATAGTTTATTTTAGATATATGTTGATGCTAACTATTATTCTTTTCTTTACTCAGTTAAACATTTTAATCAATTCTATTATATTTCATTTCAAAGAAAAGCATTAACAACTTGTGTCAGTTAAAATCCGTTGAACTATTTAAACTAAAATATTTTCTCTTTCTCACTTATGATTTTTACACACAATAAGGCAAGCTCTACACCCATAATTGATGTTTCGCTGTGTAAATAAATATTTTCTATAATTATTTTGGTCAGGTTATGGACGGTCACACGGGTCGCGTAGGGTCTCTAGCATGGAACATGTACATAGTGAGCAGTGGGGCGCGGGACGGGAACATCGTGCACCACGACGTGCGACAGAGAGACCACGCCGTCGCCACCATACATGCACATACGCAAGAGGTACTGTACAACCAAACTTGTATAACTATAGCATGAAAGAAATATACTTAACGAGTTTTCTGCATGTGAGGCTTCCGGCGACTAGGACCACTAAAACTCGGACCGCTGGATCCGTAAAAAATAAATTTTAAATAAGTCCCATTCTTCTCTTTCATTTCAAATAAGTCCAATGTTAAGGTCCCAGTCGCTGGAAGAAAATTTTATTTTTTACTGTTCCGGCAACGGAGCTGCGGTGCAAGTTATCCATGTGATACTTACTCTAATCACACGAATTACAGTGAATTGTTTTAAAAATCCATAAGTGAAAACTGGTTTATAAAAATCTGTTTCAATTGATGTGTAAGGTCGGGAAGTGTTTTCTGAAATGTGTCAATTTTTCTTTCAATACAGATTTGTGGATTAAAATGGTCTCCGGATGGTAAATGTCTTGCGTCGGGCGGCAACGACAATTTACTTAATATCTGGCCTATCGCACAAGGACAGCATTACTCGCAAACACAGTACCTGTATTCGTTCAAGTGAGTTATCAAACTGTATTAGTGTCTAAAGAACTTATTAATTTATTTACAATTATTTAACTTATTACCTGGTACAAAAGATACCTCTATGACAAAATCATGCCATCGGGAATATATTACTTTATCATATTAAATTATACGTACAAACATATTTTTTCGTACATGTAACTTCAAAAAACTACTATAAATTTATTAAACATTAAAAAAGGTAACTATTAATTAAGTTACACGCAAAAGATATGATAATTAAGGCAGTTTTATTAATTTAATTAGTATGAAAAATTCTCAATCTCAATGTCTGTTTCTAGTCAGCACTTGGCAGCTGTGAAGGGCCTGGCGTGGTGTCCCTGGAGTGCCGGTATACTCGCCAGCGGGGGCGGTACTGCGGACAGAACTATCCGCATCTGGAACATCAAGACTGGAGCCAACATCAACACAGTTGATACTAAGTCACAGGTACGATTAAAATATTTTATAACAATGGATAGTCGAAAAGGCGAACTATTCGGAACACTACACCTTTAGAGTAATTAATGTTTTATTTGTAGTATTTTAATACTAGCTACTCTTGCGCGGTTTCTTACGCTGCTCGGCTCCATTTGATCGTAGCGTTATGTTTTATAGCCTATAGCACTCAACAATATTGTAGCTATCTAGCAGTGAAAAATTTAGGTTATCCGAACAAATCCGAACAGCGGTTTCAAAGATTACCCCCAACATACAAATTTAACCTCTTTATAATATCAGTAAGTATAGATTAATTCGGAACTCACCACTATTGGATGAAATACAATGCAACAGACGTACCTAGGAAGAACATACACCATTAGTTTACTGTGACAAATAATTAATGGGATTTAGCTAGCATTAAAGGTGTTATGACTTTAGTAGTCATAACACTGTAAGACAAATAATGGACAAAAAATTCACCTTAAAAATTTGCGTTAAGTTGAAGACAATATCTTAGAATAACTCTTCTTAATGCAGGTATGCTCAATCGTATGGAGCACGCATTACAAGGAACTGATCTCCGGCCACGGCTACGCGAACAACCAGCTCGTGATCTGGAAGTACCCGGTCATGTCGCGGGTCGCGGAACTCAACGGACACATGGCTCGAGTATTGCACCTCGCGCTCTCACCCGATGGTACCACCGTACTCTCTGCAGGCGCTGATGAAACCCTCAGGTAAGTTAAAATTCATTCATTCATGTATAAGTGTACTTATCTATTAAGTTAGGTCGGAAAACGAGCAGATGGATTACCTGATTGTAAGCAATCGGCGCCGCCAATGGACACCAAAGGAGATACGAATGCGGTGCGAAAAGGCCGGGCCTTTTGGGGATAACCCTAAAGGGTTTAATGATATTTAAGTATGCGGAAGGGATGGTGGAAAAGAAAGGATTGGGCCACCAAGGACTCACACATTGAAAAAAACGTAGTGATTATTCCCGGAGATTTTCGTATTGTCACGATCTCCTGAGACTGTGAGGCAAGAAGACACAAGTACACATTGTCTTAAAAGCTAACATGTGCTAATTACGTAGGGATGATGACTCGGTCTAAAATCAATTGTTCCCCTAATGGCGTATGTGGTAAATATTTGGATTAACAATATTGAACAAACAGCTCATGATCACTTGAATTCGTAAAATTGGAGCGTGTTACATAAGTGGGGCCATTTATATAACATTGGTACATATATTTTTTGGCGTTTTATTGTTTCATTTGATTGATTACTTTGCGACTTGTATAGGGTTTCATTGTACTGAACAAATTAGTAAATACTAGTACATTTGTACTGAACTGTAATCTATATTTCAGGCTATGGAAATGCTTCATGCTGGACCCATCTAAGAAAAAAGAACCAACAGATTCGAAAGCAGCTAAATCATTACTCAATATGAATTCTTTGATCAGATAACTCATTATTACGAGTTTAAATTATTTATTTGACTGAAAGTGATCTTCAATAATTTAATTAATTATAACTCTGTATGTTGTTATAATTGTGCCAATCGTATTGTTAAATCGTCGTGATTTTTGACTTAAAACATGCATTAATTGCATTGCATGCTTATTAACTAAAAGTTTAAATTGATAAACTTTAATGAATTTTTCATGTTAACGATTAACACAATTTTGTCAGTGTTCTTTATATGTTTCGTTCTAAGCGTTTGGTTTTTTGACTAATCAAGTGAAGTTGAGGTCGTAAAATGCAGTTGTAACTTTTCTAGTTCTAGAAACTTCCATTCCTTCTATCTTTCTTTCTTTCTACCTTTTCTGTAAATGTCCTACCTATTTAATCCACCATTTCATTACCTCGGCTTACTTGTTTTAAGGCCTGTACAACAATGTTGTTGTAACTGTTTGTAAGACTTTAAATATGTGTTAAGATGTTTTTAATTATGTATGTAATTTTTACAATAAGAAAATAAAGATTTACCTACATTCCCAAAACAAAAGTTTTATTTTTTATATGTCTACAACTAACTGATTAAAATATTATTTGAGCGATATGAAAATAAAGGAAGGAAGGATCGTATTCGAAACGAGGTGATCCGACAGAGAACTAAAGAGAAAACTTGAAAAGACTGCTCGGTTTGCGGTCGTTTAACCGGCTAATCTTCTAAGTGCGACCTTGCGGGTTCGATTCCTGCTGCTAGGAACACTTGTACGTGTGAACTGTACATTGTCATTCCTGGTCATTCCTGTTCTGGGTGTGACGTGTATGTATGTGTACGTGTAAATGTGTATCATGTTCTAGTGTAATGCATCGTTTTTGATCAAAACAGAAAAAACAAAAGACCGAATTTCAACCTTACCACAGACGCAATAACGTGTAAAATGATTTAACAACGAATTGTCACGTGTGTCTATTGTAAAAGATTGTTTACAACCGCTATACTATGAATGCGGAAATTACTGCACAATTACTGAGTTTAAGACGCGGTGATGTCACGAGACGGCGCTCTATGAATACCGAGTAGGTATACAACGAATTAAAAACAAGTTCTGATAAAAATTGCTCTTTGATACTTGGAGTTAAAATGACGTAAAACAAGACGACGTTTGGGATAGACGTGTGGTATGGGCAAATGGTAATAATGTACTGCGCTCTATAAGCTCTATTACTATAAAGCTGGGATACGAAGGCGCGTTGGGAGGGGCAAAGTCGAGTTCGTGCCACCATACGAGTCTAGCTTCAGCCGGCAGCCGGAGTAAGCATCACTTCAGCCCGACACCCGCTCGAGGACAAACCGGTTCCAATTACGCTCCAATTTTCAAAGTAAGTTTTTTTTTATTTTTCCAATCGTAAATGCTTCGTTCATTTTATTGCATATTTTTTATTTGTTTGTTTTTAATGTTTATTTCCTAGTACTTATAATTTGTTTAAAGTATTTAGGTACCGTTAAATTTTGTATTTGTTTTCTACTAAATCCTAATAAATTTGAAATACTTAGGTAGTTATTTTCGTTTAAACCTATTATCAAAACTTTGCATCTATACCTAAGTATCTGATAGCATCTATATAAGTATTTGATGCTAGAAATCTAATTAGCCACTATTTCTTAATGGTAATACTTAAACATACCTATATACCTAACAGGATTTATTTTACCCATTTACTTATTTAATATATATGTTTAAAATATTTTATTACCACCCAAAACACGTTATTTTCATAAGGCCTCACTATCATTTTTGACTTAAATGACACAAACTCCTTGTATGTATAAAACTCCTTGTATACATACAAGGAGTTTCGAAATAGTAAAAATAAGTATAATTAAATATAACACAATTTTGTATAAATGTAAATAAGTGCTCAGCTCTATATAAATAACATATTTTTTTCTTTCATCAAAGCTCCTGTCAATTATTATTACTTGACATAGGTACTTATCTGTAAGTATTTGGTAAATTTTTTTGGCTCTATACAATGGCTCTATAGAATATAGGCTTTTCGCTATAAAACTTACTTTTCCTTCATATTCTTAAGATATAATTTCTATAAACTTCTCTATAACAATCTGTTTTTTGGAAATTAAGCATGGAGCTTACTATTTACAATTCATTGATACCTATACATTTCAACATTAACAAAAGCTTTGAAGTTTGACGAAATGAAACAAAAAAATATGTATTCGTACCTACATAAATTATACCTAGGTATATGCTTATAGTGAAACATCATAATAAATATATATACCATCAAGGCAAAAAACAAATATCACTTTTAAATCTTTCAAAAATATTTTAATACCTACCTATCCTATATAGCACTTAAAGCCTACCTATCCTAATAAAACATAACGCCACGTGTAATTCACTTGTGGACTTGTGGTACACACGGACAAACCTGGACTTTTAGCACTCGACAAAATAACAGGTATCTAGGTATTTCTAGCTTGCTAGATCTTCTCATACGAAAATCTTCAGCGGTCATGATATCTGCCTTAGTTCCTAAAAAACTAATATAAATCCTGTAATCAGTACCTATTTATTAGTTTCCAACTAGCCAATTCAATACTTTTCCGAAATGTCAAAAATTACAGATTTTTTTTATGAATTTTGTGTCTATAAAATTGCACACATATTTAGATTTTTTTTTAGATATCTAGAATAAGATATTTACTTAAAAAAATTATATGTACTATGGTTTTTTAAGTTAATAAACCTAATTTCTTTTTGAAAAATTTTTTGTATTATAATTGTACATATCCAACCAAAGGACCATATTATTAACAATTTTTTCAAAATAATAATTCACCGGATGTATTTTATTACTTCAGCCCCTCGTACGTCTTCTGAAGGGATGTGGTTACGTGAATAGAATATCATTTTTTAACAATTATTTACTAATGAATTTCCAGTCCAATGAAATTCAATGGTTTCAGTTGTATATCACGTTCACGAGATCAATATTACCTAGTAGCAAATATTTAAAACCCTTAGGCTTCACCTTAAAATACTTAGGTATTACTAAAAATATGCTTCTCTGCCGGCTAAGTAAACGTATGAATTTTTTACAAGAACATATCCATTCAACATCTTAAACGTCGTCGTGGCCCGAAGGTGAAGGCGTTCGCTTGTCATATAGATATGAGGGCCTGACTTTTTTTAAGTTAAACATAATGTACATATATTCTAAGATTATTTAAGATAATTGCCAATCATTAGGTAGTTTAAAATCACTTCGAGCAAGCGCAGGTAATGATTAATTTCACAATCTTCTCCATGTTGTGGGGCAAGCGCGCAATAAGGTACCGCGACCTTGGCCTGGAGCAAGAGATAGGTCTGGGGGTTAAGTCAGTAATTCTGACTTCTTTTTCGCTCGACTTCTTTTTTTACCTTACCCTACGCGAGAGAAGCCATTTGAAGATTTATCCCTCATTCAAAAAAAAACCTTCACCATGTGAAAAGAGGCCTTTGCTCAGCGCACATTACACATCACATCATCAGTCTGCCCACTGCTGTGCAAAGGCCAGTTCTCACACAGAGAAGGTTTGAACCTTAATCACCACGCCTGCTCAAAGTGGATTGGCGATTTCAAACTTATAATTAGAAATTAAGTATAAGTCCAGGTTTCCTCACTTACTCACTCCTTCACTGTATGTTAGTGTCTAAATAAACATAGAAAGTACATACCTATATAACTTCACTATCACTCTTTCGAACCCTCATACATGAGAAACGTGCGCCTTAACCTCCCTGCTACCTGGACATATTTGCTCAGCAGTGGGCTCTTAAAGACTGATGACCTGACCTTAATTTATGTTTTATGGCGTAGGTGCTCTGGGCAGTTACAAAGACGATTAAAACTTTATTATGTTTTACTGGCTTGATTCGATCCAATTTAATTAACCTGTTGATTGTCGGTGGAAAATACATTTGTTACATAGGTTAGATAAACACACCACATCCCTATAGCCAATATTAGGTAGGTTATGTTTACTTAATAAAAAAAGCAACGAAGTAGAAGCAAAATATAAAAGCAACCATAATTTAGTAAAAAAACAGCTGTAAACTTTTAATCTATATTCTAGCTATGTAACAAGCAAATATAGGTAAAGCCTTAATTTCTTGTTATAAGTTATAATTAACGATGCGCTAGCTAAAAATATTTGTCTTAATTCTACTAAAAATAAATTATTATTTAAACACTCACATCACACACGCACTCGCATGGTGACACTTATCTGAGTCCATGTGGAAAATACAATTACCTAGGTATATTTCATGAAAAATATGTGTGTCGTTATCAAGATTTTCTTTAAATATAACAGATAGTATAATCATATCATGTTTATCTCTTCTTCCAATCGCAAGTCAAATCGGTGCCAACGCCTCCAAATAAAGTCTAATTCTTTATCTTCTTATAATAACAAATCTTGGTTTTACCTTTGTACCGTAAAAATGTAAAGAATTTTTTACCAAATTAGTAAAGAAAATCTAATTCCATACTAAACATGAGTGATACAAACACACACACACACACACCTATAAATACAGTTGTTATTTGAACGAGGGACATATTCACCGAGGGACCCGATTCTGATGCTTAAATAAAACAACTATTGCCATTAGACCAATATTGAAATCTCAAATTTTTTTTTAATTTCTGCATGCAAAATGATTTTTGTGTGGGGAAATAAATTTATTTCTGAGATTTCGATATTGGTCCCAGGGATTAAGTCTCGAATATCTATAAAAATCGATAAGGTTCTTTAATACCTATGTCCCTCGTTCAAAATAACCCCCTCTATTTCGCTTAAATAAGCACTGTGACAACTAAGTACTTACACTTAGATATTTCGCTAAAATAAGCATTGTGAGTAGGTTAATTTTATTACTTAGAAATATAAAGTTTTTAATTCAGTAATCTACCAGGATAAAAATCGACTCATTAAGGGCTCATGGGCGTAGCTTGCTTAGCAAGCACAACTGAATTTCATGTTAGACAAATAACAGTAAAATAATAAATGGTACTTTTCTTCAAATTTTGTATTGAAAGTATCATGAAACTCCAAATAATGACGGTATAGTATTTTAGCGTCAAATAGATTACTTATTTCAGACCGCTAGCTGACAGATCGATGAACAAAATTATCTATAGTTATTTTCAATATTTTATTCTGTTAAAACTTCGAATTAATATTTTTGACCTAGGAACACGAACCAGTTATAGCTAGGTTCAACATCTATTACCTATTCACGAAAGGCTAAAGTCCACGGATAACCACTTTTCGCAATATATTTGGACATCCTACATACTTATTTTGAAAAAATAATGTCAAATCTGAGATTAAATTTATCTTATTTCACATTGTTTTTGAGTGTTCATTGGAAAATCCCGTGTTATGTTTCACAATCGTTAGATGTTACAAACATAGTAAGTACCTATTTGTTATTTTCAGACCATTCCTCGTTTTTACATTAGCTAACGATGGACTTAATACAAAGTAAGTCCCCGTGTTAGTTGTTCAATTAATCAAATTAGTCCCGATGACGCAATGACAATTGTGCAAATTGTACCCATCGTGATAAAAACACACCCTTCGCCACCCCAATCAGAATAATAAGCTCAATCATAAAACATGCCCTGTTGCTTGTTGTCTATTCCAAGTTTACCTACTAGCTTGGGGACATTCACTGGATTTCCTACCAAGCGACATAACTTGTTAGATAAGTGAATACTGGTTGAAGTAATTAACCAACTTTCTTATTGTAGCATATTGCAGTGTAAGTATATAACAGTATACAAGCAGGTAGCTGAAACGTTAACGAAATTTACCTAATAAGTAAAATAGAATTATGGTTGAAATCTTGAATCTACAGTAAAAAAAATCTGTACGTAAAAATACATTTTTAGTTTTACTTAATTTTCTGGCAGTTTCAAACTCAAATCGTAAAGAGTTTTAGTATTTGAGATAGTAAAAGACAGCTTTGTAAAGCCAACCTTGGCCTCAAAAAGCCATCAGATCACCACAGAGGGAAGATTCTAGGGCTGATGTCTAGATATCCAATGCAAGAAAAATAATGTTAGGTAGGTACCTCAGCCGCGGTCGATCGAAGGAGGAGCGGGATTTGAGCCTGACAATCCCCCTTGACACACCCAGGGTGTGAAGTCATTCGATGATTTTTAAAAACCCCTTAAAAACTTCGACCCTTAAGATGAATTTGCAAAAATGAGACCTAACCCAAAGTATAGTCTTAACTCTCCTCGTGATAATACGGAGGAGTGACGTAAATCGTTTGTTTTATTAAAAAAAATGTCTTTTTATC